ACACACCAAATTTCAAGGGTGGTCAAAAAATTTCATTTCCCACTTTGCTTGAGTCTTACAGAGACCTACTCTTAATCAGTAGACGTCACACTTCATTTGCGCGTTAAAGAGAAGACTTTTTCCTATTATTCATTAATATCATTTAGTCAGAATGGCTGTTAACGTTTGTTTTGGCACGGTTTTGGCGTTTTTTGAAGTTATACTGGAAAAAATCCAAATCCATCCCGATTTTCTCTTGAATTTTAAGTTTGCGAAATGAGCTTTAAAATCATCGTAAATAACTTAACCAAAATAATAAGAATATAATTATATAGGTTGGAAAGAGCTTGCTATGGTTAGTAAACTGACTCCAAAGTTTAAAGCCAGTAAGTTCAAAACTCCCAAATGAGTGTCCAAAAATCGAAATTTCGTAAGTGATAACACTTGTGAAGTGATGCATTTTCTTACAAACTTTACACTTTTCAAAAAAAAAATTTTTTTAATTTTCAGCTTTACCTTTGAATTTATTCTGCCAAAATCAGCTAGTAAGGGTCACAGCCAACTCACAGATCGAACCGTCAACCTAGAAATACTTAGAATATAAACTGCTAGGCGCATGCGCAGTAAGACTCAACCGAAACTATACAGGTAAAATTTTCGTAGTATCTCGTACAACGATCGTCTTCTAGTTACTGTTAACTTACTGTTTTTGTTAACTAAACAAAAAACAATGTCTTGGAGTGAGATTGCCAATGTGAAGCCAGGTGGAAAATGCTATTTTAGACTACATTTTTAAAAAAAATTAGCCCAAAATTTATACAGAAAAACATCGAATTTAGCAGGTGTAGTTAAATTGGAGTCCTAATATGTTGGTATAGATAACAATAGAGGTAAATATTGATCAGTACACACGAAGAGTGGCATATATTATTGCTTGAGCGATGTATGGAGCTTTATACAGTGTTAATTACCTCGAACTATAAATAACAACATGTAGTCGTCTGTATCCCTTTCTAGACAAATGATTGGACTTACCTGCCAAATTACCTGCCAAATTACCTGCCAAATTACCTGCCACATTACCTGCCAAATTACCTGCCAAATTACCTGCCAAATTACCTGCCAAATTACCTGCCAAATTACCTGCCAAATTGCCTGCCAAATTGCCTGCCAAATTACCTGCCAAATTGCCTGCCAAATTACCTGCCAAATTACCTGCCAAATTACCTGCCACATTAATCAGAAAGGTCTAGCTAAGCATAAGCTTTTTTGTTTTTTTAATTTGTTGTTCTTGATTTTTCGTTTTTTTTTGTTTTTTGTTTTTTGCTATTTGTTTTTTGTTTTTTGTTTTTTGTTTTGTT